TCGTTTGCCAATATCAAACGTATATTCAAACGTTTTCCAATATGGCAAGAAATTCTTAAAACTTGGTCGAGTTGTTGCGTTGCACGAAAATTGTAAGGCTCAAGTTTTGCCGAATTTAAACCTTTACTATGTTTAATGATACATTTAGTCTGAGATGTTAAAGATGGGTTTCCTTATTTTTTAGTGTCAAATTAAGCAAACTATTTGATAAATTGGTGTTTCTAATGAATTATCATGTATTCTTAATCATATCATTATGTTCTTATTGCATACAATTAAATATTTTAACCTATCATAAATGTCTGTGTTTGTTCAGTCGTCACTCATTGGAATTCTGCTGGTATTTCTTTTCTAATTTAGCTAATTATGAATTAATTATGGACATGTGAGACAAACTGGTATTTTATAATATTTTCATAATAAGAACACCTCTACTTTCTATTCATATAAGTATTAGCATTTTCATTTTCATAAATCTTTAAGAAAGGTTTTCGTGGGATAAAACACCATCACGATGTACATGGCGATGGTCCAGATGTACCAAACTTAACCGTTCAGCGTTGGTTTCCAAACTTTAATCAAGATCAATATTAATACTTATTGATATACAACTAATTGAAAACTGAGTGAAGTTAAAGATTTTAAAAGCTACATTGTTAACTTGAATAGATTTGACACGGGGCTTCTGGCAAATATTTTGATGATAACAATCATTTAGAAATAAGCTGGTCTGAGAATGCGGGTTTCAAATCTGAAAATGTTAACGATAATACCTTTCACTTTATTTACCACTTTGTAAGAAATGTAAGAATATGCTTTTAGTAATTACATTTTGAAATTTATTTGAGTGACTTTCATGTATTCCCTTTTTTACAAAACATTGAAACTTTTTAATTTAAAATTTAAATGAATATTGAAACCTTTCAGCTATTTGGATTGTATATTTCTTCTTCCAAAACCAAACAAATCTTTTACACTTTGCCAATTTTCATTTAAGAATGACAGTATTTTTACCATGGGGTATTGAATATTGATATTAAGTATTGACATAGTTTAATCATTGAGCACGGTGAAATGTCAAATCTTTGTTGAATGTGTAAATACTACTCCGACTTCTTCACAAATTTTTGTAATGCATCCAGATTATTTGTTTTTCTAGAGGACTTTCTTGATTCTATATGAACATTCCATGTAACCTGCTCTATCGGCAAACATGTCGATATTGACAAATGTGTCGATATTGACAAACATGTCGATATTTTCAAACATGTCGATATCAGCAAACATGTCGATATCAGCAAACATGTCGATAACGACAAATATGAATATGGCGAAGCCATTGATTTCAAATAGAGAAAAAGGCACTGAGATGAATATGTCGATAATATATTAAAATATAATACAGTTAACTGTAGGATTATCAAGCACGGAATTCATGCTATTTTCCATGGTTATCGATTGGTAATTCCGTATTTGGCACCGAAGTACGTACTTCCAGAACACATAGTATTCCCCAAAATACCTTTATAGAAGTAAAAATGTGTATCAAGTTGTATACTTTAAGATATAATGTATTGAAGGAAGTTAACTTCCGATGATTATCTCCTAAGTAAAACCTTTCTACTAATGGCTGTTCTAGTTTTGAACTGTAGTGTACATCTTATGGGGGTAGGAGATAATTATCAACTCTTTTTAACAATTGATTGTAGATAGATTGTAGATAGATTGTAGATTGATTGTAGATAGATTGTAGATAGATTGTACATTGATAGTAGATAGATTGTAGATAGATTGTAGATTGATTGTAGATAGATTGTAGATAGATTGTAGATAGATTGTACATTGATAGTAGATAGATTGTAGATAGATTGTAGATTGATTGTAGATAGATTGTAGATAGATTGTAGATAGATTGTACATTGATAGTAGATAGATTGTAGATAGATTGTACATTAATAGTAGATAGATTGTAGATAGATTATAGATAGATTATAGATAGATTATAGATAGATTATAGATTGATTCTAGATAGATTGTATATAGATTGTAGATTGATTGTAGATAGATTGTAGATAGATTGTAGATAGATTGTAGATAGGTTGTAGATTGATTATAGATAGATTCTAGATTGATTGTAGATTGATTGTAGTTTGGTTGTAGATATTTTGTAGATTGATTTAAGATTGATTGTAGATAGATTGTAGATTTAGGGTAGGGTTATTAAAGGTGCTTCGATCTTAAGAGATTGGTCTTCGATTATTTCTGTTTGTGAACTAAACATCCTCTGAAAGTCCATATAAAGCAGATTCTATATTTATTTGGCATTATCACATTTATCGTAAACAACCTGTTTCCTTATCAAACGGGATGGACAGAATAATAACCTTTGACGTCATATCCTGTTGACAAGTAATGTACCGGAAGTAAGAAGAGCTTGTATTACTAGAAAAGTGTATATGGGGTAGAAATTGGGGGAAAGATAAAGCAGACCTATATGATAACTGGTTGTGTATTAGATTTACTACAGAGAATGAATGAAATATGTAAAAGATCGTTCCCACAACAACACTCTCTTATTATATTAGACATGGCAAACAGATTCTGATATCATGTCTTTCTTATATTAGAAATTCTTACAATTTGCTGGGAAGTTGAAAATACAAAATTGTATAATGTTACTTGTCATCTTATTAACCCTATAACTTACTACGTAATACTAAACTTAATATAATTTGTTGACCATTGTAAACTTAACCCAAGTTCTTTTGTCAACATCGTAGTACATGAATCGGCCATAGTAGGACGTAAAACTCAATTCAATTCATTTGTCCACCGTAAATTTTAGTTTAAATCACATTAACTGATAGTCAATTCCACATCGTATCATAGTCTATCAATAGAATATCCATAGCCAGAAGGTGTCGCTGATACCGGAAGTACAGTCTGGCAATATAACCAAATAAAACTTTCATCAAGGTACGAGACAAGACGATCTGTAGTTAGTTAGACCCATATTACGACCTGATTACGTTCTTCAAATCTAATATTCACCTAGTAGTGCACTTAGAAGTTAATCGTTACATGAGATTATGTTTACTTCAACTTTATATATTTTAGGTCTGTTTAACCAGCTATAAATAAATGGGATCGTGGTTCATTTTGTCAAATAGTTTCGTATGATTGGTTGTTCAAACCATTCAAAACGACCTTTATCATACAAGAGGTGTTGCCATATAACTACCATGATAATCATGATTGTCGTGTGCGTGTTTATATTTACAGACCAAAGCGTATGTAGAAAGGTGTTGATTGGCAGGTTTGATTAACATTTTTTGTTTTGTTAAAAATTCAAATATTACCTTTCTAAAATCAGGTAATTAAAGCTTTTGTAACACGAAACAAACAGAAAAAAGGGCTGAAATCTTTATAGAGATTTTGTTGAAAATTATGTCATTACTGTGTGAGACGACTATCGATTTACTCGTCTAACTATACTAAATTATAGGAAGGGATTTGTTACAATTAACAAAACTGGGACGAAGAAAAGGCATGAATCCATTCAAATTCCAAAGAAAAAGTCATAATTATGTCATTACACTTATATTGACTAATTCAACTAACCTTGGATTAACCCCGAAGCCATCGATAGCCAGTGGCTAGATAAAGTACAGTAGAATGTTTACTGTAGTGAATGTTAAAGGTAAAGGTTTTAGTAATAAATTTCAAAGTAGCCTCTTACTTCGTGTACAAAATCGTGAATTGATATGTAGAAAATCTCTTGCGAGCTTTTGGCATATTGGTTTAGATTCAGACCGGCGTCTCAGATATTTAAGTTAATGAAATTTCTTTGAAATGTTTCGTCAGAAACATCTTTTGATGGAGATTTTGATCTTACACCTCGTAAAACGTAGCACAAACTAATTAAAAGAGTAAGTAATTTAAAGAATGGTGACGAAGGTTTAAGGTGTCTGTGATCGTAAACTATTAAACAGCAGATGCAGTATACAATGTGTATGTTATTGCACATCTTCACAATGTTAAGCTATAACCAACTGTGTCTAATCTTCACAATGTCAAGCTATAACCAACTGTGTCTAATCTTCACAATGTCAAGCTATAACTAACTGTGTCTAATCTTCATAATGTCAAGCTATAACTAACTGTGTCTAATCTTCACAATGTCAAGCTATAACCAACTGTGTCTAATCTTCACAATGTCAAGCTATAACCAACTGTGTCTAATCTTCACAATGTCAAGCTATAACTAACTGTGTCTAATCTTCACAGTGTCAAGCTATTACTAACTGTGTCTAATCTTCACAATGTCAAGCTATAACTAACTGTGTCTAATCTTCACAATGTCAAACTATAACTAACTGTGTCTAATCTTCACAATGTCAAGCTATAACTAACTGTGTCTAATCTTCACAATGTCAAGCTATTACAAATTTCTTCTATGCATTGACTGCAGTAGCCACCTTTCACATTGTGATACACTGTGAAGATGGTGATAGAATGATCGTAACAAGGATTGCTGAGAGCTGTGTCAACATGTTGCCGTTAGATTTAGGTGCAATGATTTGAAAATTACTCGGGGGAAATTTTACTGGCCATTAATTGGAGGGTCATTTTGAATACAGGTATTCGTTTGTACAAGTTTGACTGGTTTATTGTAACCGTCTGAAGTACCTGAAGCCATTAAAATAATTCGTTAACAAATAATGAAATTCTATTACTAATAATTGGTGTCACCATAACCTGACTTCATGCTAACACTTAAATAACTGAACAACTGAGACATACTTTAATTCATTTTGTCTACATTGAACTGACAATTATCAAGCACTAAATCATTTCCATCACGAAAATGTCTCTTTAACGCAATGTCTTGGAAATCCAAATCGTAAACATACAGTTATCGACGAGGACCCCGGAGTAAATAACAAGGAAAAGCATAAAGTCTTTTGGAGTGGCAATAAATCAAGGTTCCATAAGTTTCCTCACAGTGTAAAAATCCCCCCACAGTACATACAAGTAAACATTCCCCACAGTGCATACAAGTAAAAATTCCCCACAGTACATACAAGTAAACATTCCCCACAGTGCATACAAGTACAAATCCCCCCACAATGCATACAAGTAAAGAATCCCCACAGTGCATACAAGTAAAAATTCTCCAAAATTCCCCACAGTACATACAAGTAAAAATTCTCCTCAGTACATACAAGTAAAGAATCCCCACAGTGCATACAATTAAAAATTCCCCACAGTAAATACGAGTGAAAATTCCCCACGGTGCATATAAGTAAAAATTCCAGACAGTACATACAAGTAAATATTCCCCACAGTGCATACAAGTAAAGAATCCCCACAGTGCTTACAAGTAAAAATTTTCCACAGTGAATACAAGTAAAAATTCCCAACAGTACATACAAGTAAAAATTCCAGAGAGTGCATACAAGTAAAAATTCCCAACAGTACATACAAGTAAAAATTCCAGAGAGTGCATACAAGTGAAAATTCCCCAAAGGGCCTACAAGTTAAAATTCCCACAGTACATACAAGTAAATATTTCCCACAGTGCATATAAGTAAATATTCCCCACAGTGCATACAAGTAAAATCCCCCCACAGTGCATGCAAGTAAAATTCCTCACCACAGTGCATACAAGTAAAAATTCCCCACAGTACATACAAGTAAAATTCCCCACAGTATATACAAGTAAATTTCCCCACAGTAAATACAAGTACTCAAAGATCTGTATTGTAAAGTCTTTTTAAAAAATTGAAAAGATCAAAATTCGTTATTGATAAGAACTAAATGAATTAAATGTTGCAAAAGTGGGCTATTGTCGACAACAACATCCAATTTTTGAAAGAAAGTGAATTACTAACAACTGACGGTTTCTGCGTTTTTTTAGATTGTGTACTCTGATCAAGAGATTATTCAGATTCTCTCATGTACTCCAAGATTCTAATAGTCACAAGGTCGATCTGAACTCATCTTTTGCCTTCTTTTTAAACTATAATCAGCTAAAAATAATGAACTGGCTTTAACATTTTTTACAAAAAGCTCGAAATTGTATTAAAAATAGTGTTGCGTCTTATGCGAGAAATGTTTTATAAGAAAGAGTGACAATTTCATATTATGGAACGTCAATTTAATTGTTAAGCCACTGTGGGACAAAAATATCCTAAACTATAACATTTATTTTTTAGGCTTTTGTTCTAGAATTTATATTTTTAATGAATTGACATTTTACTTTAGTGTACATATCTTCATAAAAATATATAACAAATTAATATAGCCTTATTACGAAATGAAAAAAAACTTTGTCTTAAAAAATTTGCCACAACATCTCACTTGAAACCAATTATGAAATTGGATTGAGTTCTGCAACGTTTTTATTCTGGGCCTTATCGCAGAGAAGAATATATTTAACGTATATTTAATGTACATTATGCGACAAATTCTGATAGAGCAGTGATATAAAGGTGCTAATGAACGAGGTTCGGTGTCCGGTGGGATGATCGATACAATAGAAAATAGAACAAACAAATTTTCGAGGCACGCACACCATTCTTGACATTGCGTTTGGCATCTAGAACAATTTGATCTGATCGTTGACCTGGAAATCGCAGTTGGTCGCAGTCGCTTTTTGTTGGTACTTGAACTGCATTGCTATTCGGCCTGAGTCTTGAAAAACATGTCACGAAGCATGTTAAAGCTATCTTCACAATTTCAAGCTTTAAATAACTTCGTCTTATATCTTAACAACAACAGAAACTATTCTTTTAAAGGCGACACAATTGTTCTTTACAATGTCAAACTATTACGAACTTATGCAGTTTATTTGATTGGATGTACGCCACCAAATACAGCCAATAAAAGCCTTTGACAGCTCAGATTGGCTGTAGTCGCAAGGCTACAATCTAATCAAATCGGTGCATAAGTCCGTTATAGCTTGACATTGTGAAGAACAAGACAAGACAAGACGAAGTATGTTCAATATTTACTACAGTATAGTGTCAATTTTCACCTTGTTAACAAACACAATTATGTCCATTGGCTCAATACGAAAATAACTTGAGCACCTCGAGGAGATGTAACTGACAAATGAGCAAACACAGTAATAAGAAACCTCCGGGCTATGGAATGATCCTTTTCTGCTCATTAAGGCGACAATCTTCAACAACAATGTCTTTAATATTGAATCCTTGTATAAAACCAATTAAATCAGAAAATAATGATTCAGAGTGCTTGTTATATATTGCTTAATAATGTCAAATAAAAATCCGAACCAGGAAGACAATTTCAAAACCATACCATTGTACAGTTCCTCAAAACTTTATTCCATTAGATAAGGCAATAAATTTATATTGAAATGAAGTGAAATTGAGTTTTACGTCAAACTTTTCTGATCCACGTACGATCAAACCTGGTATTTTTGTCAAACAACCCGAGGCCATATGTCGTCAATGTGTCAACCATTCTAAAAATAATCGAAAGTCTCGAAATAAACCCACTTAAATTGTGTTTCACACAATGGCATGTTTCTGTCGTCAGAATTTCTTAATGGGATTTTAAAGAGGTTTTTTTCTCAACTTTTTTGGTTATCGGGGTACCGATAGCAGCGATTTGAACCTTTCCAATTTCCAGACAGACGTCTGTGAGTCTTGCAACCTCGCTCAAACTAAAAGGCTAAGCAAGAAGCTTAGTGACGTCATATACGGTTAAGCAATTTTTTAACTTCAGGCATCGCTGAAATCTGACAGGTCGTTGAAATAAATAAGGAAACCTATTTAAATCCTCTTTAAAGAAGAACTAAGTCTTGGCATGAACCGCTAACAGAGTTAATCTCGGCAGCATTGCTTTTCTTCTTCCACCAACTCAAGGGAAACAAAACAAGTTAAAAGAAAAAAAAGTCAAAGACCAAAGAGTTGATCAACTCGATTATCCAATTTTCTAGCCACATCCGTATACCATTACTGAGTGTTTTTTGTAACTGTGGAATAAGTGATAGAGCATTATGCACGCTGTTATTTATTAAATTCAATTATAAAACATACAGAAAGTTGCTGATGGAAACCGGATGTCAGTAATCTGATTAGCACACTCTCTTGAGATATTCTTTACACTCGAATCAAGGTGGGATAGTTTTACAAATAGTCAAATCAATATTTACTGGAAATGATATATCCGATGGACTCATTAATGGACTCAGCTTTGTACAGATACCAATTTATCAAAAACTAGCTACCCAAAAATAGGTCGAAGTAACTCCCATAAAAAGTGACATTTTATTTCTGGCCCTAAACGTGCCGATATTCCATCTAAAAATCACCTAGGAACGGGTAGTACCATATAAGTCTGGATATGAAATCAACTGATTTCTGGAATCCTTCATTCGAATTCATCGTTTTAAATAAGTTAAGCTTTGATTATCTCCCTTGTGATGAACGAAGTGTTCAGAAGTTAGTGACTTTATGAATTTTGTGCAAATCATTCCATCTCGTTTGTTAACAGTTGTCAGCTATTGAAGATGTGTCAGACATTAACTGACTAGTCTTTCGGTTGACACATTTCACCGCCATTATGTTCTATATTTGGTTCAAGAAGGCAATTTAGTATGTGGACTCACTAAAGTCGTTACACTGATTAGACAAACCTTGACGCAGCGTGGTAGCAGATAATATAATTACATTTTATCAATAGAACATAGCAAGATGGAAAAAAAAGATACAACCATTTTTACACGGATGATATTTTAAGTTTACGTGGACCCTATCTACCAACTGATCCATGGCAAAAACATCAATTATTCGTACCCATTTACAGCTTCATCGACCAAAATCTTGAGGAAAGGTCGCCAGACTTTCACATGAGATATTGAATTTCTTTAAGTGTCTTTGACCGCTGCAAACTGAACAGTTCTGGCAGAAACTTTGTTTACTTTCCAGATCATTCAAGAGTTCTATAAATATCATCGACATCCTGGAAACTTGCCTTATCTTCCTAATGCTAATCGTGAATTCGACGTTGGAAGCCAATTTTCAGCATACAGAGATACTTAAGTTAAATTGCCTATTATCTGAACAGTGTGGTACAACCAAGGGTTATAATGAATCAAGGTTTGTAATGATATGTAAATATTGTCACACCAGGAAGGGTCATCTCAATAATGATTTTGTCTGCTAGAGATATTCGTGTAAAAGTATTTGTGATAATCAATTCGGTTTGATTGAAATTAAATGCACCATTTGTGTGATTAAAGGAATTCGTATTTTGCGCCAATTTTCAACTTTCTCGTGGTTTCCCAATTTTGTAAATCACACCATTTAACTTTGATTAGAGAATGGCATTTGTTTTTTCAAACGACAATTGATGTTTCCTACTGCTTTAAATGGTCCTTATAAAATCACATCCAAGATATTGTGATATTGAGTCAAGCTTAATGATACGGAAAGTTACATACTGTTGTTGAGATCTTGCTTATAAAAACCCTGTCTTGAAAGCTTAATGTGATGATATATACTGCTTTATTGAACTGATACCACTTGACAGATGTATTTTGGTCGTGCGGATGTAGCCTATAGTAGCCTATATTGAGATCTTGCTTATGACAAAACTGTGTGGAAAGCTTAAGAAACGACAACTTTGATTGGTGTTCCTTACTGATTCATTGAGGTGATACAATGTCTCGTCTTGTATTATGCTAAATGATATTGAAAGAATCCGTTGTTAGGATATCTTCCCTTTCAGGAAAGCATGACGTGACATGTTTACTGACGTGTGTGACGTGTGTACTGACGTAGTGACGTGTGACGAAGATCTTACTCCATTGAGCTGATGCAATGTGGCAGTGATGGGCAACAAGATCTAATTATGAAATTTCGGTCTTGCTAAATTGAGAGTAGAAGGGTGTTTATCAAGGTCTTGCTTACAACTATATCGGGAAACCAATGAACTTTATATCGATATAGTTCATGGCATTCCGCTCAACTTGTCAATTAATATCATATTGATAACTTATCCCGACATGCCGCCATTAATATGCCAAGGTCCATCTAATAGAGGAGATTACTACTCTAATTAATCAAGAACTTTGATTACTCTTCCAGTATTCTTGGTAAAGTTTATGACATGACGTGTCAGGGCCGTTATCGACTGTTATATACCAGTAATATCTACAGTACATGTGTACCGAACACACTGATGTAGATGATTGACACAACAAACGGAAGTAGTTTAATGTTCGAGATATTTACACGCACGGGTTAATTGAAATGTAAAATGTCAAATAAACAATATCAGCTATTAGGACAAACCCACGTCCACCACTTTCTCGGAGATCAACCCCCTAGCGAGCGTTGAACCTTCTAAGCATCTCAGCCCCCGTAAAAGCTGATTGAAGAGGGAAGTGATACTAGTTATTGTTTGATAAGATGTTTTTCAAGGCAAGATTGTCGCTACACACACTTTAAATGATACAAAAACACGGTATTGTCCCTGAAGAATATGCTCAAAACGTACCGCGTAAATCTAAATTTCATTTCCAAACACAGACGTTGAATAATGGCTTTTCCTACTTTCTCTTGTTAAGTTTAAAATGGTTGGCAAGATGGATGAGTATATCCAATTTGACTTCTTTTCATATTGACACTTCTAAACTATCATCTATAAATTGTTCTA